TCCAGTGAAATATATTTATGTTTGTGGTTGTAATGTGACAAAATATGGAAAAGTTCAAGGGGTATGAATACTTTTGCAAACCACTGTATTACCAGTACAAATCCAGCACAATTGATTGACAAATTTTGTTATTTGAAAAAGATGGTGGTAGTGGGGGTCAACTTCACTCAGCTGTGGATCACCTGTGTGCATTTGTGAATATTGACTCTTTTAGCTCCTTAAAAAAACTGATGTGTGAATGAAAGTTTTGGCACACACCATTAGACATAAATGTGTATTAAATGGGTACATAATTTTTTTAATTTTTAAATTGTCTAATTTTAAGGAGGAATCAATCTATTCAAAACGAAGGCCTTTCAGTTTCAACAAACCCTTTTTTCTGAATGATTAACAATGAGTAAAGGTGAGACTTTCAACCCCTGGTGACACAGTCCATTGCATAATTAATCAATAAAAGCCAGCACACCTAAGTGAGACCAATTCAACTCCTGTAACTTAAAACCACATTTGTGACTTTTTTTCTTAGTGATGTAATCTGCATGTGTTTCACACACCAGAAAATAAATTATGCACACAATATATGTGTGTGTAGTTACTACCAACTTTGATTTTGATAACATGATCTTTTATGTGTGTCAACTTGGTTAAAATTTCAACTTTGAGTGTGTTTTCAAATTTCCTCAAACAAGATATACCATGCAAAGTAGAGAAAATGTAAGTGACAGACCTCTAATGTCTCATCATGTTCTTGCTGTCTCAAACTCGAGAGGACGTCCTGATGTTCTGGGAAGCAGAAATAACAGAATATTGCAGTGGAAAAGAAAGAAAACAGATTTGAGGACTCTTGCAGGACAATTGGGAAGACCTGAAATGTTGTAAAGACAACAGCTTTAATTGAAGACCTAGCATTCTTTAAAAGTGTTGGGCATTTGTTTGGATTATTTAATCACCTTTAACACCCTCCTAAAAAGGTGAAAGAACTGTGATATCATTTTTGCCTCTGTGTGTTACCAAAATATCTTGTGAATCACTTGACAAATGTGAAAGGGATCTCTGACAGTAGTTGATTGATTTTATTTAAGTGTCATGCCCCTCTGGTGCCCAGCCCTCATTTGCTAATAGGACACTCCACAAATAAAACATACATAATAACAAGATGTCTACATTCAGATCATAAAAATATTTTGAAACTCACCCGAGATATAATTCAATTCAGTTTATTTGTATAGTACCAAGTCACAACATCCATCCTCTCAGGACACTGTGCACAAAAAACAATAAACCTAAAGAAGCCAGCAGATTGTGCTGAATCTTCACTTCATCACGGTCTCCCAAGCAAGCACATTGGCAACAGTGGAAATGAAAAAAAAAACACTCATGCTCAGGACAGGCTGCCATCTGCCTCGACCGGCTGGGTTTGGGGGGACAGATAAGAGACACAGACAAACACAAATTGATTGGTCCAGGTGTATTTTCCTCTGGACAAATTTATTTTTAGTTTATTTTATTTGAAACATCATTTATTTGAAACATC